CCCACTCCTGGGAATCTCTTGGAATCCCTTCCTCCTGCTGGCCCTGCGCGTTCAGGGGGCCACGGACTGGCTCAGGCAAGTGAAGGAGCTGGAGGAAGCTGGAGGGAGGACAGGAGATGAGAGGAGTGGGGGAAGGAGAGGGCATGAGGAGGGCTGCGGTAAGGAATGGAGGAGATGCTCCATCCAGCCCCGAACCCCAGGGGAACTGGGTTGTGCCGAGACAGGTCAGGGACCTGTAGCCTTGCGACAGGATTCTTCCAAAAGAGATGAGAAAAACAGAGAGGGACACCGAGGGAGACAGCACAGAGTGGCTGCTTTGGGCCCTCTGCTAGTCTTTAATCTCCCCCTTTAACTCAGTGAGAACCTGCCCTAGAATCCACCTCCAGCCCCACCCCGCTGCCCACCACACCTCCCAAAGCAAAGGAGGAAGTCAGAGAGAAGTGGGCACAGAGTGCCTTCAAAGCCAAGAGGCAGATGGAGCCGGGAAGACAGGAGACACGTTAGAGGCCCCTCTGACCAACTCCTCCCTTCACCATTTATTTACCCATATTCCCTGGGCCCCTGGGAGACTCAGGCACTGCTCCGGGGAGTGGCTGTGAGGCGGATATAATCCTGGTCCTCAGGGAGGGCCACTGGGGGGATGCAGACCTGGACCAGGGAGTCACGGGTTGCCTGCCGATTTGGGGAGTTAAGGGAGGCTTCCTGAGGGGAGTGGCATCCCAGCTGCACTCTGGGGGTTGAGCTGGAGTTAGCCAGGTGTAGGTCAAGTCAACGCATGGTGCAGGCCCAGGGAGCAGCATGCTCACTGGACCACAACTGGTGAGTTCAGCTCTACTCCAGCACAGTCACGAGGGCTACCTGGGGGGAACCAGGGCTGGGATTTTAACCCACAGGAGGAGTGGGGGTGGCAGTGAGACCAGAGAGGAAGGGCTGGATTCTAGAGAGACCTGGAGGGGAGAATCTGCAGGGCTGGTGGCAGATTGGGCTGGGGATTGGACTGGAAATCTCTGGTGCTCTGGATTGAGGGGAGGAGGGAGGAGAGGCCTGAGAGAGTCCTGTGTCACTGGGCCTCTCAGCTGGATCAAAGCAGGGCCAGCAGAGACATCTAGACCAAACTCAGCAAAAACTGAGCCGGGGTAAGAGAAACTGCCAGCAAATGGGAAGGCCCCCTCAGAGCAGCTGGAATGGCCTCTGCCCCTCACCCCCTCTCCCAGGGCTCCGGCTCCCCTCACTACCGAGTAGCTCCCCTCCACCCCCACATTCCCAGGTAAAGAGAAGTCAGAACTCTCCAGAGGCACCTCTGTTGGGCAGCACTCACTGCCACCAAATAGGCAGGCAACGGAGAGGGTGTCTGTCTACCTGTTGGCCTGTGTCTGCAATTCTCAGGGTGTAATGCATCTGTGTTTGTATTTCTGGGCATGTCTGGTCACTGGGTGCCCATGGGTGTTGTGTGTGTGTGTGTGTGTGTGTGTGTGTGTGCGCGTGTGTGCACATGCACACCCCTGTGTCTGCCATTTGGGGTGGGGAGGGGCCTGTGGATTTGGCTGGAGTGGGGGTGGTGGCTGCTCTTGGGGCTTTTGGGAGGCAGAGTTCAGTTGGAGAAGCTGAGAGCTTTCCAGGGTGGTGAATAAGCCAGCAATGAGGATGGGGTTCCCTGAGGATGGGGTGCAGTGGGGACGGGAGGGGCTTGGGATAGAGAGAGCACTGGGGCTGGGAGTGGTCAGGGGAAGGGGCTGGCCCAGACTTTTCAGAGCGGGGAGGGACAAATGGACTAAGATAAGGGAAACAGAGGGGTTCACAGTAAAGGGACAAAAAGTTTAGACTG